TATTTTTACTTTGAAAATATGATAATTAGATAATATGCACCTAAAATAAGAAAATGCAATTGCTTTTTTCTATTTCATTTGTAAATTGTCTTGTTCCATTGGTAAACTGTCTCACTTCCTTCCTTAATTCAAGAAAAAATGCACTTATTTTAAGAAAAAGGACTTATTGAGATTTTAATGTTTTGGAGTGCTCCAAAACATCTTCACCAAGTTTTGTAACTCCAAGGCACATTGGATGTGAATGACCCTCATCACTCTAACCACACAATCTTTCATTGTCTTGCTTTAGGGACAAGCCTGTCTTCCATTCTAGCTAAGGGACCAACTTCTCCCCAGAAGCTGTGTGGTTGGTCTTGGTGTACTCTTTGTACACAATTAAATCACTTTCTATCATAGTTGACTGCTGCCTTTAATTTATACATGCTGCTGTGATGGATAAAATAAACTAGATTTTAATCTTGCAAAAGTATTTCATTTTTTATTTTTATTTTACTGGCATTTGTGATAGACCAAATCACACTGTGAAAATGGCTTTTCTATATTTCTATATCTTTCCAAAAATAATATCTTTCTAAGATAAAAATCTAAAAAACGTGGCTCGCACCTGTATCTAGTCAGCATTTTGTAGATCCATTTTTCAGTGTTATTATACCTGTAAGTCTGTTGTCGTTTTTACTTGCTTGGCGCCTCTGACACCATATTTTTGCCTAGTTTTAAAGGCTAAGATGGGAAGCACCAGGGAAAATTGCATTTCAAGCTATCTATCACAAATGTATTAATATCTGGACTTAAACACAATAATTTTTTTTATGTATAAACCCCTAAACTTTGTCTCAAATGGGACAGTATCACAGTACCTGGACTTAGATGCTTCTCTGAATAATGGCCAGGTTTTTCAGCATGAGATATGTCTTGCCTTGCTGGGTTGCCATACTGCTTTCAATGTCAGATGATTGATTTAATGATAATCTGTCCATTCACCAATCATTTGTTCCAGCTCATCCTTGCTGGGTTGCAAGGGTTGAAGCCAAAATTTTTCATCACCCTTGACAGGTCACTAGTACATCTGAGGACAATGCACAGAGACAGAACAGTCCTCCAATGCATTTATGTATGTTCATAGCTAAGAGCAACTAAGAATATTCATTTAAAATAAGTCATATTTTTGGATAGTGGGAAAAGGCGGAAGTACCCAGTGAGAACCCACACATGGACGATTAAAACATCCAAGCTGGATGTTTCCAGGGATTCCAGACTGGAATTTAGAATTCAGCAGCACTGAACAATAGGTATGCTGCTAATGGCCAAATGGTCCTTGTGGCCTCTTTGTTCAAAGAAATTTGTGGAGAACCTGTTGTTCTGCCAACAGGTTCTCCCACCTGAGTTGTTGTTCTCTTCAGCTCCCCCAGTTCTTGGACAGTTCTCTGATGATACTTTCCTCATGCAGCATTTTATATTTAAACATTGGAAAATGCAAAAAAGAGAAGGGTCTTTACTAGTTTTTTTTTTTTTTTTTAAACAATTGTTCCTTTGGGT